TGTCTAAGGCAGAAAAAATTTATTCAACGACCGACAAAGAATATCTTGCTGTCGTCGGGGCGATAACCAGGTTCCGTCCGTACTTGTAGGGGATCCCGTTCCGCGTGGTCACAGACCACCACGCCCTCTACTAGCTCGCAAGCCTCAAGGACCCGTCAGGACGCCTCGCTCGCCGGAGTTTTCGACTGCAAGAATTCGACGTTACCATTGTGCACAAGTCTGGCCGCAAACAAAATGACGCCGACTGCTTGTCTAGGACCCCAATCGAATCTCCTCCCGACAGCACCGACTTCGACGATGACGCCCGTTTCCTGGCAGCAGTTACAGATACCGACATGGGAGCACTTCAACGAGATGTCACGGAACATTGCGCCGTGATCGACCACCTCGAAGGTCAAGGATGTTCCGTTCCGTGAGTCTTGGCCCGAGACTTGTCAAGCTTCGTTCTGCGGCGAGGCGTGCCCTTGAAGAAGAACTTCGGAACCAGCAACCCTGCCTGGCCGCTGGTTGTGCCTGCCAGCCTGCGAGAAGAAATCTTTCAAGCATGCCACGACAACCCGACGGCTGGACACCTTGGCTACAGCAGGACGCTCGCCCGGATTCGTGATAAGTACTACTGGCCGAGACTCCCGAAAATCGTCCATCTGTGCACACGGTCGTGCCATGAGTGCCAACGACGCAAGAAGCCTCCGCCAGCAGGATTCCTGCAGCCGATATCTGCTCCGACTACGCCCTTCCGGCAGGTCGGAATGGATTTGCTTGGGCCGTTCTCAACATCGACGGAAGGAAACCGGTGGATTATCGTCGCGACCGATTATCTTACACGAAACGCCGAGACGAAAGCCCTTCCATTGGGAACAGCGGTGGATATCGCCAAGTTTTTCGTCGAGTTAATTCTCCTTCGAAAAGGCGCACCTCAAATGATGATCACAGATCGAGTGTCATCTTTTTGGCACAACTGACTCGGGAGGTACTTCGGGTCAGTCACACCAGCCATCGTCGAAAAACCGCTTATCACCCGCGATCAATGGGCTAACACAGCGAGTCAACAAGACCATCGCCGACATGATCTTCCTGTACGTCGGCGTAGAGCACAAGACGTAGGATGAGTTATTGCTGTACGTTACATTTGCATACAACACAGCGGTATAAGAAACCACAGGAATGCCGCCGTTCCAACTGGTACATGGCCGGACGGTTACCACGATGCTGGACGCCATGCTGCCTCACGCGCCAACCGACGATGGCAACGACGACGCTCAACTGATCTCTCAACGCGCGGAGGAAGCTCGTCAACTGGCAAGAATCAAGATTCAAGAGCAACAGCGAGTCGACGCACGCCGGTATAACTTTAGTCGCCGGGACGTCCACTTCCAAGCCGGAGGCCGGGTATGGGAGTGGACACCGATGCGGCGCCGCGGTCTCAGCGAGAAGCTTCTCAAACGCTATTTCCAGCCCTACAAAATCATCCGATGCCTCGGCGATCTGAACTACGAAGTTCTACCCGACGGAACGCGACCATCTACAAGACGCCACCCACCACTTGAGGTGGTGCACGTCGTTCGGCTCAAGCCTTATCACGAACGAGAGAACTTTGGACTTTTGTCAAAGAGTGAACTGTGAACTCTGAACTGTGAACTGTGAACTGTGGACTGTGAACTGTGGCTCGCGACTCGGCTATCCTTTTGTTGTGTATTTGTGTTTTCGCTTTGTGCTGCATCGGGACGATGTACTTTTTTGAAGGGGGGAATAATGCCGTGAGCGCAGCTGACTAAGTAGGCAGCGCACTCGTGGCCTAACGGTTATTGCGCGTGCCTTTTACGCAGAAAGCCAGGCTTCGATTCTTGGCCGTGGGTACGCATTTTTGTTAACTCTAATGTAATTAAAGTTCTGGTAAATTCGAGAACCGTGTTGCTGATTCGAGGTTAGTATGTGCTACACGCCGAACCTTCCACAACGATTGTTCCAGAACTTTACATTTCATTAGTATTAAGAAGGCCATATTAACGCTAACGCGGTTGCCATACGTGAGACGTGCACATACCCTACATTTTCATTGTTATTTAAAAGCGTAAAAATGCTACGGGGTTGTCAGGAAAAGACAAATTGACAGCAAGGACGTGGATGGTAGTTTTGAAGGAAAATTCCTAATACATGGTCGTACAACCGACCCACAAATTACCATGGGCGAAAGCGATCGAGAGCCGCAATCCTGTAACATGCTTCGCGGTGTCTGTTTCAACAGCGGGCGTGTAGAGTCTCCCTCAATGCGACGTAAAGGCGATTGTGAGCTCCAATAGATCCTCCGCCATGAAAGATAGCACAACGCAAAAACAAAAAAAAAAAGAAAAGATATGTTGAAAAAATATGTGAATTGCGACTGAATGAGATTTTCTGTAACTTAATTTATATGAAAACCGTTTGGGGAATCGTGAAATCCAATTTGGATATGCTCATGTGACCTACGTCAGGGATGGTGCGGCTAGCCACTTTAAGAACATGTACAGTGCACCTCAAACTTTACGCCGCCACTGGGTTCCCAAATATTGAGCTCGTGTCGGCTACTTACTCTTAAATTTGTCACCAAAACGTTAGGGATGCCTTTTCAAGGTGGAATAGAAATCGGAAACCCAAACATTCTTCAGATAGTTCAATCGGCAGCCGCAGGGACTGTCAGAAACGGCAAATTCAGTGGCGGCGTTAAGTTTGAGGCGCACTGTACCAACTACTGGAGCTGCAGACCAACAAGTACATGACAGCGAAGTCTATTTTTTCTACTGCTGAACATGGCAAGAGTGCCTACGATAAAATCGGGGGTCGTGTCAAGCACCAAGCAACGTTGTACAACCTCCGATGGCCCACCACGTCGGTGATAAAGTAAGCGCACGAGACGGTTGCCCCGATGAACACTAAACTGCCGAACGTGAAACTAATCCACCTCCTGAAAGCTGACGTCAAAGCGTTCAGGTACATGAAAGCAAAAAAGTGGGATTCTGTTTCTGTTGTGCGTGGAATTTAGTCCTGCCACTTGCGGCAGTGTACGCGGTCCGACATTTCGCAACCACAGCTGTTTTAGCAAGAACAGTAGACGCAGAAAAGATATATATCTTTCAAAGTAAAGTCTCCTATTGCTGCGAAAAGCAAATCGGTGTGCCGAGCTTGCGGTGCCACTGAGAGGAAAACAACAGTGATCGCTACAGGAAAAACGGGAAAAAAATATTCCTCCTCGTAATGCCAGAAGAGCGGCGTGACCGGCTCAAGTCAGTGTCCGGCAGAAAGAATGCAAGCAACAAGCGCCGAATTTGCGCACATGATCTTGATTCATTGAACTCGTTTCAATTGTACCACTTTAAACATGTGTTCTTCCTTATCACTCTTTAAGCCTGGTCGTGCTTCAAACTCACCTGTAATCTTTCGTATGAATTCTTACTTTTCACGAACTCCTGTCACAGTGCTCTCTCTTCGCAGACTTCCTATCGTTCTCTACTCCCATTGTGGCAATTTTGCATATTTAGCGCTTCGTAAAATAAAAATAAAAAGTTCGAATATGTTTTTGCGGTTGCACCACGAGTAAAATATATATTTTGGTAAAAAAAAAAATGTCGACCGAACGTGGTCGTTCGATCCTACCTGAAAACGCATATACAGACAATCTCAGTCAATCGTAATTCCACTTTTTTTTTTAAGTATCTTTATTTTCTACTCGTTGTGCGGCCCTCCGCGGCGGCTGATCAATTGGCGCTCAGAGGTGGCGTAGGTTCAGGCTTAGCCGCGCCCTACCTCCTATATCATGTTACCGCCAAGGTTGTAGGCTGGTCTGTTTGCAGAGTCGATCCGGTTGCTTCCTTTACGTCGCGTAGACGGAGACGCTACATGCCGGCTGTTGAAACAGGCACCGGGAAGCATGTTACAGGGTGCCGCACCTCGATCGCTCCCGCCCATAGGCATTTTTGGGTCGGTTGTACGAAAATGTATTAGGAATTTTACATTCAAAACTGCCGTTCACCTCTGTGCTGTCAATTGGTCCTTTCCTGACCATCCCGTAGGATTTTCCCGCTTTTTAATACTAATGAAATTGTGAAGAACGGGTATGTGCACGCCCCATTTATGGCAACCACGTTAGCGTCAATTTCACCAAATTTCTAGTCTTATAACTTTAAATTCACACAATTATTGCATTATGTTTTTCGCAGATTCTGTTGCTACATATTACAAACGTTCATTTCTGAGAGTTCCAAAAATAAGAAAGATAACCTTATTTTTAAATGATTTTCAAAATAATGCATATTTAGTTAAGTGCCGCTGTATGAGCAATTCTCGTAAATTTCTCCAGCTAACCAGAACAACAATTATTCATGAAAAATATGAACTATATACAGGGCAACACACTCGCAATGTTTGAAGACCTTAACGTTTATAGGTAATGAGAAAAAAAATCTTTAATCCAGAACGTGATGGCACAATGTGTCGTGTTTGCGATTTTTTTTTCTTAAAATAGCATCCTTAATACTGGTGATTAATACTTTTTGTCAATCCTTCCTATGCCTAATTTGTCAGTAAATATTTCTAGACCCGTAGCCATAAGAGTTTTTTGGGGGGAAGCCGCCCGAAACGCCAACATCGCGCGATTCGCCAAATACGCACGTGACTGAGAGGGTACTAACAATTTTTGTTTTTTTCGCAAAGACAATTTTTTTTTCAGTACAAGAATTGGCTTTATTCTTCTATACATGAAGCCAGAAAAATATTTTTTTCATCAAAATTAATACTGGTTACCGGACATGGTTGTTCGATCTTTTCTGAAAACACCCAGTATAGATGTATCTTTTACATCCTGTTCTAGTGCCTATTCGGTAAATCTCTCTTTATTATTGTCGCGCCTTCGCTCATAATTGCTTATTTTCCCGACTCTTGAAACAGACGGTGTGCAGCCATGAGAATCGTAGAAATCATTAAGTGGCATTGGATTTTCAGAACATGAGGTGCGTAAGATACAGCACCTTGATCAAACTTTCCCGTTCTTTCTCTTTGCATTCATTGAGCTTCAGACATGCTGCATTGTCGAATGACTTCAGGGCTTTGTTCCGCATGTTCTCTTCCTTCTGCTTAAGTTCCTCAGGTGAAATCAATTTTCCATCTGACTGAAATACCTGCGAAGTAAAGATATGCATTTCAATATTATAGTTAGATTTGTATGCAGGGTCAAACGCGCACAGATCCTGGCCCCCGCCATGCCTCTGCTTGTGTAAGTGAGCACGTAAAAATTCAAGCCTGCCGAAGCTACCTTCACACGCGTGTTGCCCGTGCTTGCACGCATGGGGTAGCAGCCACCACGATACTCTGTAATTATGTAAAGGCACTTTCCATTCACGTTCATCGGCATACCGCAATGTAATTTCATCATCAAATCGCGTTGCAAATTTACCTCTAGAAATAAAAAAGCTCTATATTTGATGTGGCGCAATCTAGGTAAGAAAACGTCTTATAAGAAGAACCTCTCCAGACCCATCATATTACAGAAATGTTCCTAAATGAATTCTATGAGCTTCTTTATTTTCAGCATGTTATTTTATTATGTTTGTTTGCTAAGAAATTTTAGAACTTTGGCGTGTCACTAAGATATACTTGTACAGCAGCATAATAAAATATGTACATAAAGGGCAAAAAGAAACATTGGCAGCAATTATGAGCAGCTGTAGCTGGAACACGAAACCCTCTTTCGTTGGATGGAATCACAATAAATGTTCAGTGTAAATTAATTCTGACTTTTGAAGAAAAAACCATTCATCTGACGATTATTGTACTCTTTTACTACCCTTTCTGCGCCTGGGCAGCGGCTTCAAGGCTCGACTACAATGGCTGTTTCGCCACATTTAAATCACTTCACCCGGTGTATAACCGCACTCAGTTTGACAGTTACGCATGCACACATAACTTTAATGGTGCGTTCACACAGGAAGCGTATCCGAGTTCGCGAAGCGGTAGCGGATGCGGTTCGCGAGCGACCCCGTTCAGACACACCGAGAGGCGGTTGGCGGCGTTGGCGGTTTCTCGGCGACCACGCGTGATCTTTTGAGACTTGCGTTTGGCAACCCTGTTTTACAATCCAAAATCCACTTTAATTCAAGATCCAAAGCCAAACCTTTTGCTATTTCGGCAGGCGTTGTTTCGGCACTCGGAATATTTTTCTCCGGGATGTTCGCACGCATCACGAGTGCAGGCAGCGAAAAAAGAAGCATGGACCCGCCAAACTCGCCTGGGATTCCCTCGACTTCGCCCACAAGCAAAGCCCTGCTAGACGCGCCTTGCTGGCTCAGAACAGGATGCCCCCGACCTTTTCTTCGAAGTGGACCCTTCCCGCATGAATAGCTGACCCCTTGTTTTCGGGATAGAAGACCAGTTTTCCCCCCTCGTTGTTGTTCGCTGTTATCACTTTTCGAAGCTGTGAGCGGTGGGGTGAACTGTGGTGCGGGGGAATGTGTTCGGTGCTAGCCGGTCGTGGCTTCGTTGGTGGAGCACTCTCCTCTCGTCACTCGCTCGTCGATCGAGTCTGCTGCATGTATGACATTAAGCTCAAATAAACGCCGTATGGATTACCTCTGCATTGTCTGGTACGTACGTTTTATTTCTTGAGTAGGTTCCCTTCATTTATTTTATTGGTAGTAAACGTTACAGGTCGAGCTAGCGCAGGTACCCTGACCCTCCGCGGTAGTGCGTTGGCTACGCAATCAATCTTACGACGTCTCTATCGATCTTCGTGGTGGTCATGCACGGTGTCGAAAGCTTTCAATAGTTCACGCTACTATCTTAGTGGGTAGGAAAGCTGACATTTCGGTCGATCAGGGGCGGGTTCCGACGTTCTACAGGCAAAGATTAACGAGGCAGCGAGCTTGGGCTGTGGCACCTGGAGTAATAAACCAACTCTTACCTGAACCAAATCACCGGTGCGAAGCCCGTTAAAATTACGAGTCCATTCTTTTCGCGGCGGATTCAAGTGACGGACGTGAACATCAAGTTTCTCCGTTGATTTGTCGAAAGCTAAGACTACAGCGCTAGGACTACAGCGCCTTGGACGCCTCACCAGCGACAGGTGCCATCTTGTTTTGAAAGTCACCGACGTCACGTCAGCGTCGCGTTGTAATTGCGGTTCGTGAAACCGGTTGGGTGGAATCGGTCCCGAAGCGGTTGGCAAAAACGCGCTCCAACCGCTTGATCCCAGCCGCTTTGCGGTTGAGAATGCGCAGATCCGCTTCGCGAACCCGGATCCGCTTCCAGTGAGAACGCGCCATAAGGCGCGTGTAAGCTTTAACCGGCCTCACGTCATGTGCAGTGATAACTGGAACTATGACCGACTCCCCTACCCGCGTGTCCATTATATAATTGCCTTTTTGTACTACTTGTGTAAAGGACGGAATATCAATTGAAGTAATTAATTTTCTTGAAGCGACAACTTCATGATTGTGCACGTTTTAGGGAGCGAATGACTATGCAACGCTACAAAATTACCCAGAGAAGGTTATTTTGTTTTAGATGAGAGTGCTTTGCCACATGTCTGTGTTGTCTTTACGTTAGAAGAAAATATCGGGTGGGCTTAGGAACAATCGACACGAGGCTCACTTCGGTGGCATTAGAGAAATCAAATAACTACGCATTATGGTTCAAAACACTGTGTCGGCCTGCAATAAAATGTCGAATTTCTTGCGTCCCTATTTCCATACCTTCTCTCTTTCACAAGATGTATTTTTATAACAATATAATAATATAGCATCCTTGCTTAATGACAACCACCATAAAACAAAGACGAAACGCCGAGACTTGTACACAGAACCTAACCTACTAAATAAACACCCAAGCATTGTGCAAATAGCACAGCAGTGTAGAACAATCCACCCATTCAGGAAAAAAGTTAGAGCATATTTCCTTGAAGCTGATCGCCTACCTTGGATTATTTAATGTGGCTTTTATGTGTTCTTATTGCAAATATAGTGCCTTTAATATGTCCTTCTTTCATGGTGTTATGAAGTGTTGTGATGTTTTAATATCACACGTGCGTTGGATGATTTTGTTGATAATGACGATGTTAATCTCATTGAATACAGTTTTCTCTGGTTTTTGTTTCATGATTTTTTTTTACTTTGTTTCTTTTTTTTATTTTTATTATGACGCATTGCTTATGTTTATATTGATGATATTGATTGGAATGGTTTACTGATGCCTATCTTTATTTCAATCTCGTTGCTAAATGATTGTATGCTGTCTCTGTTGACTGCTTTGGGCAGGGGAGGGGGGGGGGGGGGGGGCTAGCGGCCTCGTCAGGGGGCTTTTTTGCCTTCTTTTGCTGCAGCCCCCCAGACATATGTATCACACATGTATGTCTGAAATAAACTATAAACTATTCTATTCCACAAAGCTCTGAGGCTCTAACACACCGAGTGTTAAAGGTGCCCCGAGGAGGTTCTAAAGGTCGGCTAAATATGGCGATAACTCACTCTGCGGGCATTAAGCATCCTAGAAATTCATAAATCCTAATGATCCGCTGCCGGTTTTTCTATTAAGAAACCAATCAAAGCTCCAACACACCAAGGTCATTTCCGGCGATGGGAGGAGCATGGTTCCAGCTGCCAGGACAACATATTGTCACCAATAAACAGGCGAGGAAACAAAGAATAACTGGGGAAACGGAAACGTTTAATGGGGGTGAACTTGTGCCCAAAAATAACAAGGAAACAAAAGATAACAGCAGAGCGTCGCGGGCGTCGAGGTCGGCGAAAGAGCAGAGTCGAACGCTGGGGCGAAACTGACCAGACAAGGTCGCGGCGGCCTCTTATCTAGAGTGAGTCACAATCTTGAAGATTCGGCGGAGATGGTTCAAGCGCAGCGCGCTCAGGGCGAGAATGAACAAGCACTTTCCAGAACAACAAAAGCAGGGATAAACGATAGAAGTTATGTCCGCAGCAAGAATAAACGTGAACTTTCTACAAGTCCGTGACCCTGCGCGCGGCAATAGGAACAATGAAAACGCGACATTTCGTTGAGATTGTGAATGCTGTTATGACAAAAATGTGTATGACGTTTAGGGATGTCGCGAACCATCCTAGGTTTGATTTCAAAAGGTTTCGATGTTTTCGAAACGAACTGAGGTTCGAAATCGCAAAATTTTGATATTTTCGTACCTACCGAGGTTCGAATTCGAAAAATTCGTAACTTTTCGATCACAGTGCAGTTTCGAATTCGAAAAGTTCGAAGCTTTCACGGTTTCTAAAATTTCGGGTTCGAATATTTCGAATATTTTTTTTACTTGAGGTTCGATAAATTCGAAAATCTCGAACTTTCCTAACTTGAAATTCGATATATTCGAAAATTTCGATTTCTTGAGATCTGAAATTCGAAAAATTCAAAGATTTCGAAATTTTTTGGATATGAAATCAAAAATTTCGAACGCTTCGAATGTTTTAGACATAAAGTTCGAAAAATCGAAGATTTCGAACTTCCTTCTAAATGAAGTTCGAGAAGTTCGAAGGTTTTGATTCTCTTTTAAAGCTAAATTAAAAAAAGAAAAAAAACTTTGAAGATGTCAAGCTTTTTTTTAGGTGCAAGTTTTCAAAGTTCGAAGTCCGGTTTTCATGTTCCTCCACAGTTTCAGTTTCAAATAATGTTTTCACGACTCTCTGGTTTTCACGAAATCAGGTATAGAAAAGTTAGTGTGCGATATTTAGACTCCGCCAAGTTGGGTCAGGCAATTAAATGAGACGACGAGTGTCCCGGTGCTGGAATATTTGCCAGTGCAGTGTGACGTGTGACCATAGATCAGTAATTGTGACCGCCAGGCCCCCGGGAGGAGGGGGGGGGGGGGGAGAGGGCACTAGGCTTGAACAACGCAACTTTAGTTAGGCGAAAGCTTCACGAACGCCAGCTGTTGGGACTCGAGTAGCTTGGCAGAGTTGTAACGTTGGCCTCGTTGAAGCGGAAATAGCCACCACAACTTGGCTTTTTTAGTATGCCATATATACACACATACAATCTCGAGCAATTGGCGCTCGCCTGCCAAGCCGTGCAAGCTACACAGGCAATCTCGGAAACGTATATATGGCAGATTCAAATTTGTTCACATATCGCTCCCTTTAAATAATAATTTAGACCTACGACAATCGTAAGACTTACTTAACGAAACAAGAAAACTTGAGACGGCTGAGCGCAACAAAGTGACGAAAGATGCTGGCGAGCATCAAATCTCAACTACATAACTGAGTAAAAGAGGTTCAAATCTAGGGAGGGCTCTTCTGATCGACATTAGACTCACTCACCTGTCCGAGAGAATAACAGTACTCCATCAAAGCTTTGTCTCGCACAAGCTCCGCACAGAATTCATCTGCTTTCTGTAATGTAAAATACCACAATTCAGCATCTCCATAAATATGTGTCTTATGAAGTTAACACAACTGAGAGAACAAAAATAAATAAAGAAATGTTAAAGTGTGATTTTCTTTTTCTGCAGCATAAAATTAGATTAATTTTAAATAGTCTGATAGGAATTTATGAAGCACAATATTTTTATGGGTGAGAGCTTGCCTAATCAAAGCAATCTAAATGCATGCATATATTATCTTGCGTGACATGCCGAGGCTGGACCTAATATTTTCCCTGGAAATCGGCGCCGGCACATAGCAACTTTAATCTTTCATCAAAGGTGTATTTCACAGGTGGTTTGCTCTTGTAAAATTACGAGGCGTAGCACCCTTTCTGTAAAATACAGGACCAGAAAACATGTCAAGGCCAACGGCGGACGGCGACGCAGACGACTGAGACGAGTGGCGGGGAACGTTTGGCGGGCAGGGCGTCGATTCTTAAGGACCATTTTAGATCGGGCTCGGTATTTCAAACACCCTACACTGTAGGGACTTAAAAATATATATATTATTTCGTACTTATTTAAAATACAAAACTTCCTGCTCTGTCGGGGTTTTGCGGGGCTTCTGGTTTCTTGCAAATTCTAACGTGTTAAGTGACGTGAGAGAAACGCGCGTCCGTCGGTTTAAGTTGTCCCCCCCCCCCCTATTTCAAACAAATTTAACAAAAACTATTTGTAGTATATAATGTAATTTTGTTCAGAACCCATATAAGTGACAACATTAATGCATGAGTGAAACTGCATGAGTCAACGAATAAAGAAACTCTATTGTTTTCCCTCTAGATGTGTCTCAAAGTGTTCATGGCCGCAGAATAACCTTTGGCGCATATCCAGTTTCCTAGCTGTATCTTGCGTTCCCCTCAAAACTGGCGGAACAAAACACTGAGTTAGCGTCACGAATTAGCAACGGAAGACATGTTTTGTGAAGGCACTTTCTTTGACTAGTTCAAGTGTGACGCAAGCTTTACAACTAGCGGTGCAGCGGTGGAAACGAACTTAACCATAGTAATTTGTAAGCTATCGTCATGCACGGTATTAAATATTGACCTTGTGACTCTGGTTAGATTGTAAATGAAAGAATGAGGTGATATATAAGTGACGTTTCTATTTCAGTTCACCGTCATTGGCTACAAGGTAAGGTTATGTCCCATACAGTTTATCAACCCATTTTATACAAGCTTGTATGAAGCGGGCTTTGACAAGGGAATAACAAATATATTTAAAAACATTTTTTGCTATTTTACTTACCACGACCATAACGCCATGCACCGCAAGTTCCTCGGAAGAAAACATTGGTGTCATTTTCTGTAAAAAGATGCAAGAGGTTTGGATTTTTATGCAAACATGCCTGGGAAGCAAAAAAAAAAAAAATAGTTTTCGTTGATTCCGTTTTAAATTAAGCAACATTGGAGAATTTACTAACCGAATAAATATCAGGCCGTTCTGCCATTTAATTTCCAGTTTTAGATATCTTTATTTTTGGCCACAAAGCGAAAGAAGCATGACTTGATTTAGGCCCTCAACTATCCGGATAATTTTACGGTACCTGGGCCGGCTTGCTAGAAACAAAGTCTCAGCTGAGACTGGGTGAAAGAAAACACTGGCAAATCCAGCGCACGAGAAAACGTTACTAGAGCACTCAGTTTTCAAACTCACCTTTGAAACCTAGATTACTGGCGTCCACAGAGACGAAACTAAATACGATTACAGCGGCACCCTTTAGCGACGAGTCAAAACATGAAAGTTGCTTTATATAGCTACTGCGAGATGGCGCTACCGGACCTTGGGCGACTAGACGAGAAAAGGCAACTCCGCTCAATTTTTGTTTTTGAAATGTGAGCTTCGACGTCTCCTTCAATATGAAAACTCGGAAGGATCTTGAACTAAGATTCCCCCAAGGCGAGAAACAAATGCTTATCTGGATTCAACAAGCATAAAAAGGTATTCGAGTGAGGGCTTGAGTCCGTTATTGCGTCCACAATTCTAAACGGGAAAGTTCAAAATCTTCATAGGACCTTTTCAGGGGACTCTACTGACGAAAAAAGCACTTGGAACTCCCGATGCAAAAAAAAAAAAGGACTACAAATTGTAGCGGTGGTCAAAGCAGCTAAGTGTACTGCAACATTTCCTTCTTGAAAGCTATGCAATTTAGTGCACTCTCGGAAATGTAAACTGTAAACTATGCGGCCTGGGCTTCGCGTACTTTCGGCTGTTTTAAAAGTTATTCTGTGTTTATTAGATGTTTCTTCAAAGCAGGCACGTACCCAGGAATTTCTTTCGCGGGGGGGGGGGGGGGGGGGGAACCGCCCATGCCAAAATGCTGTATGAGGGGGAGGGGAGGGGGGAGGGGAGGTCCCAGCAAAATGAAACATTTCGGGGAGGGGGGGGGGGCCGGGCCCCATTGCCCCCCCCCCCCCCCCCCCTGGCTACGTGCCTGCTACAAAGTCTTGTTTTTATGGGCGCCACTACGTAAAGCCTGTGCTTTCGGTGACCGAAACCAGGAAGTGACTACCTGGCATCATAGTTTTTTCAGCTATGTTTACCTCGTCAACCTTTCACGTGGAGATACCTAGGCCCAGAACATGTGCATGAGGCAGTGGAACTGTCACTGATGTTTAACGCGCATTAAGAAAGCTCTCTCTCTCTCTCTCTCTGAAATTTGTGTTTTTCTAATTTGTTTTTGATTATTTTGGTCACTAATTATCTCGACAAAATCACTCTCACATTTGTGACATACATGGACTAAAGTCAAATCATTTTATGTTTTTTTCAGAAGCCTCCTCCCTAAAGATGCAGTTTGGGAGCGGGAGTAGCACCCTAGAGGATATTAACTTTATGGTTACGTCTTGTATATTTCATATTAGTGCCGTGCATAAACGGTTTGTTGTTGTAGTTGTGTTTTCAGGAAGGAAACTGATTCTTCGACCAGTGAATGCAGTCTGGGTTGGACATAATTTCCAGACAAATAATGAGCACGGTTATGTCCACAGCAAGTCAGTAAGTAGTCTGATGCTGCAGCCAATAGTGGACTAGTAAGAAGGAGAATACAACAGGAAGACAAAGCGACGAGGACATGAGTAAAGCGCTCAAGCTGCTAAATGCAGCCTGAGCTCATTTATGGCGTCTTTATGGCGTTATGGCGTTTTAAAAGGGCTCTTTAAGGCATAAGCGACTTCCTGTTAAATTTCTATCCAGCAATACATATCGGTACCCAACGTCTACTCATAAAAGAGTGACTCTGAGGCATCGGAGCACCACATCAATGTCAGCAATGCTGCGAACGAATGGACTAACAGCAGAAATCATCTCATGTCGCTGGCGTGACTGAAGAAATTTGCTTCTATGAACTACCGGCGCCTGGATGTGGAAGGCCATTCATCGGTCTTCCACCTCTGCGACCATGTCAAAGAGCTGCAGATTCCCCACTTATTGAGAAGTTGTGGCTGCCCAAATCTGCATACGACACGCTGTTCCAGAGAATGGTATGACATGTTTCAGAACGACCTGACGTATCTGTTTATAAAAGCATATGCCAGATTGCTTCAAGACGACAGTGACACCCTGATCATTTATCGAGTACAGTGGTGACCATCAGTTCGTAGTTGTACTTGACGAAGACATTCAGTGCAGTGTTCATATGGCTGCTAGAACATCTTTGGTTACGACAGTAAAGGTTGGCACCACTGTAATCTTTTAGAGGACAGTCATTTCTGACCCGAGCCGTCTTTGCTACGACCATGGTCACTTGTTTCGTTAGGGTCTTGTGATGCATAGGTGACCACCCGAAGCTTCTGTCACCCCATGCTACAGGAAAGTTATAAGTATGCTGCAAAAACGGCTTGTACTTATGCTTTTGGTTTTTTTTACTAGGTCAACGCATTGCACAGTTAACCTCTCCACACCAAAGATTTGCATCTTGCGAAGCATAGCTCGCACTTACAGGCAGGTTTCAGGTACGCTGTAAAAGCTGCATCCACTCATATATCTGTCCACTTGTTCCATTAGGGTCGTGTGATGCACTAGTGGCCTCCCGACGCTTCTGTCACCCAAAGCCACAGTTAAGATTCAAGTATGCTGTAAAAACTGCTTGCACTCATGTCTTTACCTTTTTTTTTTTTTTTTTTTTACTATAGGTTCATCCATTGCAGAGGTATCCTACCCATACCATAGATTTGCCCCTTGCGCAGCACAGCTCGCAGTTACAGGTAGGCTTCGGGTACGCTGTGAAAGCTGCCTCCATTCATATCTCTCTCCAGTTGTTCTGTTAGGGTCGTGTGTTAAAACTGGTTGCATGCATACCATTGCTTTTTTACTGGGTTCAGGCATAACAGAGGTATCCACCCCACACCAGGTATGTGCACCCTGCGCAGCACGGCACGCAGTTACAGGTAGGTTTTGGGTACGCTGTGAAAGCTGCCTCGACTCATATCTTCGTCTACTTGTTCCGTTAGGGTCTTGTAGTGCACGGGTGGCCTCCCGACGCTACTGTCAGCCCAAGCTACAGGTACGTTCCAAGTACGCTGCAAAAACGGCTTGCGCTCATGATTTTGCTTCTTTAATATTAGGTCCACGCATTGAAGAGGTATCCCCCCACACTTGTGATTTGCACGTTGTGCAGCATGTCTCGCAGTTACTGGTAGGTTTTGGGTGTGCCACTGTGAAGGCTGTTTCCACTCCTTTTTTTCCTCACTAGCTTTGTTGGTGATGCGCAATACAAAGTTAGCCTCGCCTTGCCAGGGTGCTGCTATTTGCAGCAGTTAAGTTTGTGCTTCATGAGAGCCACATTAATCTAACTGATTTCATTCGGGCCATAAGGTGCACTAATTGATTATGCCTTCGAAGGGCATGGACAACGTGAATTGCAAAAGGACTAAGGGAGACGAAGAGAGAAACCCCACATGAGGTATGTCGTCAGCCGCCTTGCAACATCTTAGCTCCGAGGTTTAATGCAAGATAAATTATTT